ATAGATCCTCTCCATCCTTTTGTGTGTGTGCTGTGGGTGTGCCTGTGTGTGTCCGTGCATGCCTGCCTGTATGTGCATGTGGGTGTGCGTTGTGTGGTTTGATGGACTCGTCGCTGTTCCCGTCGCCGCTGTTGTCACCATTGCATCACTGTTGTTTTAGCAAAATTATTAATAATAATCGGGGAAAAAAGAAAGAAACTTGTTAAAATTGAAAGTTGATTACATCTGGTCTGGGCTATTGTTATCTTTTGGCATTGGTGTGGCCATCTAATTTGTAATGTTTTTTTTTTTAAAGAATGGGGTAGGAGCTTATAAGATTTTTTTTTCTTCATCCTACTCCTGTTCTTCTTTTCATGGAATGTATTATTGTTGTGTTTGTTGATTTGTTCCAATTGTATAGTATGTTGCATTACCATTAAAAAAGAATAAATAAAATGAAATGAAATGAAATAAACTATACCTTACCTTGCACTTTTCTATTATATTTTTTAATTTATTTTCTATTTTTTGGGGAATTATACTTATATATGTTCGAAGAATAGCAAACTTTCTATGTGAGGAAATGGTGTGCAGCAGTATTGTTTGTGAGTACGCCATCTCTGCGACAAAGGCAGCAGATGTCAACAACACATCAGGATGAGTGCCAGTTACTCCTCCCCCAGCAGTGAGGGGGATATCTCTCTCAGTGCAGGTTAGTGTGGCAAAACACTTTACAAGAGTTGTGTCTTTTGGAAGCGTCAAGCATTGGTTTTTAAGTACCTTTAAAATCAAACCTTAAACCTTAAGTTAACCTTAATAATTCTGAAACCCATGGATCAATGTTGTGTACATTACAAAATATATGAAGATTACTTACTTACTTACAAATCCTGTAAAAATCTGTAGTAAAATGTGTTGGTGACATGAAAATCCTGACTTTCAGAGATAAAAGTACATGAAGATAAATGTGTTTTGATTTATTAGGTTGTTGTTGAAAGACAATCAGAATTGTTTTATTGCCATTGTAAGTAACAGGAAGTCACAAACTAGGAATGTGCTTTGGCTCATGGTGCAAACAAGTTGTAAAAGTAAAACATAGATAAAAAGGCATGCAAAAAAAAATTGTCATAAAAATCTTTTCTTAAAATTCAATTTCTACTGTACACAAGTGAACACTAAGTACACACAATAGAATTTTAACAATACAGTTAAAGTGACTCTGGTTGAGATGAGCAGCATTATAGCTAATCACCTGTGAATTACAACACTTAAGTACCAGCTCGGTCTGGATAAACAACTCAACTGAGGTCAAATGTGTATATGTATATTTGCATGTATGTATGTGTACGCATCAAACTGAAATTTCTCCATTGTGGGACGAATAAAGGACCTTCTTCTTCTTCTTCTCCCTGTGTTTGTGTTGCAGGCAGTGCAAATGGTGATGGGGGCGTGGCTGGTTCCGTGGCAGCTGCACACTTGCAGATCTTCCCAGAGTGATTTACCTGGGCTCTTCCGCTCAGCGTAGACTGCAGATAGGCGCCAGATAACTCTGTCTTGTTCTATATAGTGCTTTGTGTTTCTGCGCTCATTTTTTTTTGCTTGCTTGTATTTTTCTGGGATTTTGAACTTACCGTCTCCTCATTTTTTCCCAGGTGCTCGCTCTGCTTCTTCTGTCTCTGCCAGCCTCTGCAAGCCTCCATCTCCACAGCGTACATACCAGTATATGTGTCTGTAAATAATAAACTGTAAATACCTGACAGTCTCCACTCTGCCTTTTGGGATCCTAATTTTACAAAACCCAACAGTTAAAAGCTCAAAAACATTCATTTTTAATGTGTCTCCTTTCTTAGGAAAACTGACAAACGGATGTCATGAAAAAGAATAATTGTTAAAAATACACAGAATTATTAAAAACAAATACCACCACTGCTTTCAATGAGACTTTTTATTTTTTATCAGCACCAAACTTTAGAGACAAGTTTTGCTGTCAAATAAAAACAAGTTCATATTTATGCCAAAATGAAGCCAACTCTTTTTGACAGCCAGAGCCTTTTTACATTACATTATATATATATTAGAAGAGCTTTGAAAAAGTCTATTCTCTTGAGTTGGCTCCTCTCCCCAACCCAAAGCTGAGCAACATCAACATCGAGCTGTCAGCCTCAATAATTCCTATATTAACCACATTACAGACTCCATGTAGCATTGCATAAATAAACCAAATGTCATATTGCATTTATATTGAATTTATCATGTCACTGTGGTCCCACTTTCACGTTTCTTCTTCTGCTGGGGACTTTATGCACTGTTTGTCTGGAGAATTGCAGGGCTTTGGAAATATATGCGGTAAGTCAGTAGCAGAGTGGATGTTTGAAGCCGGTAGATGCCTCAGAGAGGAGTAATCATTCTCCACATTCTCCCTGACTGCGGGAAGTGTTGGTATAAAGCAAAGTGCCCTGGAGACACAGAAAAGCTCTATATCAACAGCAGAAAGCCATTCAGACTCACCTCAGTCCTCAATGTTTGCTGGAAGGCTGAGGTAATGATGAAGACTTGTCATAACGTGTGTTTAAACTTTGTCGATTGTACATTTTGGTATCAATTCAGGCTGAAGTTGCCAAGAAATTAACTTTTGAGTCGCATAAATGCTATGGCTGTATATGCACAACTATCCTCACCCTTCTAAATCTGCAAAAGTGATGAAAAATAAGCCAAAAATTGCTTGAATTTGGCTAAATGTATCTTCATTTGAGCACATTCTGACTGCTATACCCGATTTATTTTCAAATGAGTTCATAAAAATGCGTATTACTACATACAAGTTGTATTATATTTTGTAATTTAATGGGCTATATGCACGGGGAGGCGTGACGTCATTTCCTGTTAACAAAATACAGCCCGTTCACTTCCTGCCTATGGTATCCTATGGCTTTTAAGTGGGTTTTAGTGACGTTTTTTGGTAATTAGATTGATACATTCACTTTTTGAGGTGGTCTCGGTCCGCTTCCAAACGAATTCTGGTCCAAGTCGAATCAGGTCTGAATACATCCGGTGTCGATCCGACACAACTCCAAGATACGTGCGCATTTTTTGGGCTTAACAAGCCACCGCAGACAGAAACTGAGGAATTAGCCACGCAGCGGCTAACTATGCTGCTAACTATGCTGCTAACTATGCTGCTAACGCTACACAACAACAATGAGCCGTGTGCAGACCTGGAGCAGTGAGGAGACGCTGTGCAACAGGCTTATGGAGTTAAAACTGTTCACAGAATACATTGATGTTAATGCAGCATCTTCAAACCATTTGCATTATTAAAAGCCTGACACTGTTTGACTCACGTCTCAAAGAGCAATATTCCGCATCATGTAGTGAATTGTGTTCTTTGGTTCCTACCTGATCCTCAGCGTCTGTTTGTCCCGTGGTTATTATAGATCCATGGTTTATCCACAATGCTGAACAGGGCCGTTATTATCATAGATCCATGTGTGGGACAGGACACGGAGCGCACAGATAGTCTCTCCTTCGGCTTTCTCCTCAAGCATTCTCCGACGCTGTTCCAATATTTAAAACAACGTGTTTCGCCTGCGTCATATGAGCTGCTGTTGATGTTGAAGGTGGTTTTGCTCTAAAAAGAGCAAACATAGGCAGAGCAGACATGCTGCACATACGAGCCCTCAATGTTTTCTGCCGGTTCCGCGTCTATCCTCCGTGAGCTCTCGCTGTCCAATAGGAGCGCCGATCGTCACACGTGTCGATATGTTTATATAAAAAAGTTCACTTGCAAAAAGGACAGTCTGAATACGAACCGGAGCAAAAGAAAAAAGTTTGGTCCGCTTTTGATTCGGATCAAGCAAGCGGAGCAAAGGACTTTTCAGGTCTGAATACACCCTAACTGCTAATTTACACATCACGCGTTACAGCACGTACGCGTTATACGCGCAGCAGACGCGCGTAACTTTTTTCCATGTTAACCTATGATGATATTTACACTTCTAGCGTTATACGCGCGTATGACGGACATATGACGCGAAGCTGCGCTCTAATTTAGGATGGATTTCTAATTTTGTGCGCGCACCAACGCGTCTCCCATTGAAAACACATGTGAAACATGATTTTTTTATAGCGGTCCTTGGCTTTAGATCGCATCTGCACGCACACTGCACTTGTGTCTAAACATCAGCAGGAGGAGCAGCAGGTTTTACAGTGATTCTGGACATCGTTTTTTTTCTTTCATAAAGTCTCGCGTCTGGCCAAACCAGCGCACAGAGACCATGAAGACAAACACATGCATGTGATTTGTGTTTCTCTACATCAGTCCTCTGGCTCGTACTGTCCTCTACACTGCTCCATAGACTACACAGGGACAGCATCAGAAGACGCGGACCTGCGCGCACGGTCAGTGTAGATACTCCAAAAAATGTTACGCGCAGAGAGCGCGCAGTAAACGCGTAAGCGCTGTTTACGCCTACTGTGTAAATCCCCCGTTAGTGTGACGCTCGTTCTCCTCCAATCACAGAAAGAGGTTGCGTCCTCTAGCCTCTACAGCGCTGCTAAACACAGTAGCGTGTTAGCAGAATTGGCTATAACTCCTCTTGTTGTAACTGCAGACACAGCAAAACAGCTCAAACGACACAACAGTGAGGAAGAGAAGAGGGAACTAGCAAAAAAATTATCAAAGAAGAAATCAAGCCTGTGTGTACATAGCTAGCATCGTATCCTCTGGAGAGGCTTGTCTATGGGAGAAACTTGCGGGACTGCCTCGGACTATCTATGCTTCGACAACATTCGGACGTGAAACTAGCGGTAATCTTTCAGTTATATATTTTGTTAGCAGTGCGTTGCTTTTGTACCATTTCATCAGTGATTGTTGTACAGCTTAAGTTGTGCTAATGCTAATGATAGCATATGTATCAGATTGCAAATAAAATGGCTCTGTGGAATGAGAGTGTAGGGGAAACTAGAAATGGTACAATGGCTGAAGTCATTGTGAGTCGCTGCATAGATGTTGGAAGGGTTAGGGATGAAGAAGGAAGAGGAAGGGGAAGAAGAAGGAAGAAGAAAGAAAAGGGAAGAAGAGGAAAGAAGAAGAAAGAAGAGGAGGAGGAAGAAGAAGAAGGGGAAGAAGAAGGAGAAGGGGAAGAAGAGGAAGAAGAGGAAGAAGAGGAAGAAGGGGAAGAAGAGGAAGAAGAGGAAGAAGAGGAAGAAGGGGAAGAAGAGAAAGAAGAGAAAGAAGTGGAAGAAGAGGAAGAAGTGAAGAAGACGAAGTAAGAATGTGTTGTAAGGGGCTGAAAGTGTTGTAAAGTGCTGAATGTGTTGTAAAGTGCTGAATGTGTTGTAAAGTGCTAAATGTGTTGTAAGGTGCTGAATGTGTTGTAAAGTGCTAAATGTGTTGTAAGGTGTTGAATGTGTTGTAAAGTGCTAAATGTGTTGTAAGGTGTTGAATTTGTTGTAAAGTGCTAAATGTGTTGTAAGGTGTTGAATTTGTTGTAAGGTGCTGAATGTGTTGTAAGGTGTTGAATTTGTTGTAAGGTGCTGAATGTGTTGTAGGGTGTTCAATTTGTTGTAAAGTGCTAAATGTGTTGTAAGGTGCTAAATGTGTTGAATTTGTTGTAAAGTGCTAAATGTGTTGTAAGGTGTTGAATTTGTTGTAAGGTGCTAAATGTGTTGTAAAGTGCTAAATGTGTTGTAAAGTGCTAAATGTGTTGTAAAGTGCTGAATGTGTTGTAAAGTGTTAAATGTGTTGTAAAGTGCTGAATGTGTTGTAAAGTGCTGAATGTGTTGTAACGTGCTTAATGTGTTGTAAAGTGCTAAATGTGTTGTAAAGTGCAAAATGTGTTGTAAAGTGCTGAATGTGTTGTAAAGTGTTAAATGTGTTGTAAAGTGCTGAATGTGTTGTAAAGTGTTAAATGTGTTGTAAAGTGCTGAATGTGTTTTAAAGTGCTGAATGTGTTGTAACGTGCTTAATGTGTTGTAAAGTGCTAAATGTGTTGTAAAGTGCTAAATGTGTTGTAAAGTGTTAAATGTGTTGTAAAGTGCTAAATGCGTTGTAAAGTGCTGAATGTGTTGTAAAGTGCTGAATGTGTTGTAAAGTGCTGAAGGTGTTGTAAAGTGCTGAAGGTATTGTAAAGTGCTGAAGGTGTTGTAAAGTGCTTAATGTGTTGTAAAGTGCTGAATGTGTTGTAAAGTGCTGAATGTGTTGTAAAGTGCTAAATGTGTTGTAAGGTATTGAATTTGTTGTAAAGTATTGAATGTTTTGTAAAGTGCTAAATGTGTTGTAAGGTGTTGAATGTGTTGTGAAGTGCTAAATGTGTTGTAAGGTGTTGAATTTGTTGTAAAGTGCTAAATGTGTTGTAAGGTGTTGAATTTGTTGTAAGGTGCTGAATGTGTAGTAAGGTGTTGAATTTGTGTAAAGTGCTAAATGTGTAGTAAGGTGTTGAATTTGTGTAAAGTGCTAAATGTGTTGTAAGGTGTTGAATTTGTTGTAAGGCATTGAATGTGTTGTAAGGTGCTAAATGTATTGTAAGGTGTTGAATTTGTTGTAAGGTGTTGAATGTGTTGTACAGTGCTAAATGTGTTGTAAGGTATTGAATTTGTTGTAAGGTGCTAAATGTGTTGTAAGGTGTTTAATTTGTTGTAAAGTGTTAAATGTGTTGAATTTGTTGTAAAGTGCTAAATGTGTTGTAAGGTGTTGAATTCGTGTTAAAGTGCTAAATGTGTTGTAAGGTGTTGAATTCGTGTTAAAGTGCTAAATGTGTTGTAAGGTGTTGAATTGTTGTAAGGTGTAAAGTGTTAAATGTGTTGTAAGGTGTTGAATGTGTTGTAAAGTGCTAAATGTGTTGAATTTGTTGTAAAGTGCTAAATGTATTGTAAGGTGCTAAATGTGTTGTAAGGTGTTGAATTTGTTGTAAAGTGCTAAATGTGTTGTAAGGTGTTGAATTTGTTGTAAGGTGCTAAATGTATTGTAAAGTGCTAAATGTGTTGTAAGGTGTTGAATTTGTTGTAAGGTGCTAAATGTGTTGAATTTGTTGTAAGGTGCTAAATGTGTTGTAAGGTGCTATAAGTGTTGTAAGATGTTGCAATGTATTGTATCTGTGGTAATGAATTGTTAGTGTGGTAATGTGTTGTATGGGGAGTAATCTGTTGTACTGGTCCAATGTAAGTCAATGGGAAAAAGTGCTTGAACTTTTGTTAATATCTGAAAAAGTGCTAAAGGTGGAAGTGTGAAAAGTAATAGCAATAATGAGACGGTGAAGCCGGTCGTAACGATGTATAATTTGTTGAATTTGGTGAAAGCGTTGAAGAGTTGAAAAGTGCCAAAATCTGGCGGAAGTGGAAGAAGAAGAAGAAGAAGAACTAGAAATGGTACAATGGCTGAAGCCATTGTGAGTGGCTGCATAGATGTTGGAAGGGTTAGGGATGAAGAAGGAAGAGGAAGGGGAAGAAGAAGGAAGAAGAAAGAAAAGGGAAGAAGAGGAAAGAAGAAGAAGGAAGAGGAGGAGGAAGAAGAAGAAGGGGAAGAAGGGGAAGAAGAAGAAGGGGAAGAAGGGGAAGAAGAGGAAGAAGGGGAAGATGAGGAATAAGAGGAAGAAGGGGAAGAAGAGGAAGAAGAGGAAGAAGGGGAAGAAGAGGAAGAAGGGGAAGAAGAGGAAGAAGTGAAGAAGATGAAGTAAGAAGAATGTGTTGTAAGGGGCTGAAAGTGTTGTAAAGTGCTGAATGTGTTGTAAGGTGTTGTAAAGTGCTAAATGTGTTGTAAAGTGCTTAATGTGTTGTAAAGTGCTGAATTTGTTGTAAAGTGCTGAATGTGTTGTAAAGTGCTAAATGTGTTGTAAAGTGCTGAATGTGTATTCAAGTGCTAAATGTGTTGTAAAGTGCTAAATGTGTTGTAAGGTGTTGAATTTGTTGTAAAGTGCTAAATGTGTTGTAAGGTATTGAATGTTTTGTAAAGTGCTAAATGTGTTGTAAGGTGTTGAATGTGTTGTAAAGTGCTAAATGTGTTGTAAGGTGTTGAATTTGTTGTAAAGTGCTAAATGTGTTGTAAGGTTTTGAATTTGTTGTAAAGTGCTAAATTTGTTGTAAGGTGTTGAATTTGTGTTAAAGTGCTAAATGTGTTGTAAGGTGTTGAATTTGTGTTAAAGTGCTAAATGTGTTGTAAGGTGTTGAATTTGTTGTAAAGTGCTAAATGTGTTGTAAGGTGTTGAATGTGTTGTAAAGTGCTAAATGTGTTGTAAGGTGTTGAATGTGTTGTAAGGTGCAAATGTGTTTTAAGTTGTTGAATGTGTTGTAAAGTGCTAAATGTGTTGTAAGGTGTTGAATTTGTTGTAAGGTGCTAAATGTGTTGTAAGGTGTTGAATTTGTTGTAAAGTGCTAAATGTGTTGTAAGGTGTTGAATTTGTTGTAAAGTGCTAAATGTGTTGTAAGGTGTTGAATTTGTTGTAAGGTGCTAAATATGTTGTAAGGTGTTGAATTTGTTGTAAGGTGCTAAATGTGTTGTAAGGTGCTATAAGTGTTGTAAGGTGTAGAATTTGTTGTAAAGTGCTAAATGTGTTGTAAGGTGTTGAATGTGTTATAAAGTGCTAAATGTGTTGTAAGGTGTTGAATTTGTTGTAAGGTGCTGAATGTGTTGTAAGGTGTTGAATTTGTTGTAAGGTGCTAAATGTGTTGTAAGGTGTTGAATGTGTTGTAAAGTGCTAAATGTGTTGTAAGGTGTTGAATTTGTTGTAAAGTGCTAAATGTGTTGTAAGGTGCTGCAAGTTTTGTAAGATGCTGTAATGTATTGTATCTGTGGTAATGAATTGTTAGTGTGGTAATGTGTTGTATGGGGAGTAATCTGTTGTACTGGTCCAATGTAAGTCAATGGGAAAAAGTGCTTGAACTTTTGTTAATATTTGAAAAAGTGCTAAAGGTGGAAGTTTAAAAAGTAATAGCAATAATGAGACGGTGAAGCCGGTCGTAACGATGTATAATTTGTTGAATTTGGTGAAAGCGTTGAGGAGTTGAAAAGTGCCAAAATCTGGCGGAAGTGGAAGAAGAAGAAGAAGAAGAAGAAGAAGAAGAAGAAGAAGAATAAACAGTAGGAGAGCATATAGTGGCTGCATAGTCTATGCAGCCACTCAACTAGAAATGGTACAATGGCTGAAGCCATTGTGAGTGGCTGCATAGATGTTGGAAGGGTTATGGGTGAAGAAGGAAGAGGAAGGGGAAGAAGAAGGAAGAAGAAGATAGAAAAGGGAAGAAGAGGAAAGAAGAAGAAGGGGAAGAAGAAGAGGAAGAAGGGGAAAAAGGGGAAGAAGAGGAAGAAGGGGAAGAAGAGGAAGAAGGGGAAGAAGAGGATGAAGGGGAAGAAGAGGAAGAAGGGGAAGAAGGGGAAGAAGAGGAAGAAGAGGAAGAAGGGGAAGAAGTGAAGAAGATGAAATTAGAAGAATGTGTTGTAAAGGGCTGAAAGTGTTGAACGTGTTGTAAAGTGTTGAATTTGTTGTAAGGTGCTAAATGTGTTGTAAGGTGTTGAATGTGTTGTAAAGTGCTAAATGTGTTGTAAAGTGTTGAATTTGTTGTAAGGTGCTAAATGTGTTGTAAGGTGTTGAATGTGTTGTAAAGTGCTAAATGTGTTGTAAGGTGTTGAATGTGTTGTAAAGTGCTAAATGTGTTGTAAGATGTTGAATTTGTGTTAAAGTGCTAAATGTGTTGTAAAGTGTTGAATTTGTTGTAAGGTGCTAAATGTGTTGTAAGGTGTTGAATGTGTTGTAAAGTGCTAAATGTGTTGTAAGGTGTTGAATGTGTTGTAAAGTGCTAAATGTGTTGTAAGATGTTGAATTTGTGTTAAAGTGCTAAATGTGTTGTAAGGTGTTGAATTTGTTGTAAAGTGCTAAATGTGTTGTAAGGTGTTGAATTTGTTGTAAAGTGCTAAATGTCTTGTAAGGTGTTGAATTTGTTGTAAGGTGCTAAATGTGTTGTAAGGTGTTGAATGTGTTGTAAAGTGCTAAATGTGTTGTAAGGTGTTGAATTTGTTGTAAAGTGCTAAATGTGTTGTAAGGTGTTGAATTTGTTGTAAGGTGCTAAATGTGTTGTAAGGTGTTGAATGTGTTGTAAAGTGCTAAATGTGTTGTAAGGTGTTGAATTTGTGTTAAAGTGCTAAATGTGTTGTAAGGTGTTGAATTTGTGTTAAAGTGCTAAATGTGTTGTAAGATGTTGAATTTGTGTTAAAGTGCTAAATCTGTTGTAAGGTGTTGAATTTGTTGTAAAGTGCTAAATGTGTTGTAAGGTGTTGAATTTGTTGTAAGGTGCTAAATGTGTTGTAAGGTGTTGAATTTGTTGTAAAGTGCTAAATGTGTTGTAAGGTGTTGAATTTGCGTTAAAGTGATAAATGTGTTGTAAGGTGTTGAATTTGTGTTAAAGTGCTAAATGTGTTGTAAGGTGTTGAATTTGTGTTAAAGTGCTAAATGTGTTGTAAGGTGTTGAATGTGTTGTAAAGTGCTAAATGTGTTGTAAGGTGTTGAATTTGTTGTAAAGTGCTAAATGTGTTGTAAGGTGTTTAATGTGTTGTAAAGTGCTAAATGTGTTGTAAGGTGCTGTAAGTGTTGTAAGATGTTGTAATGTATTGTATCTGTGGTGATGAATTGTTAGTGTGGTAATGTGTTGTATGGGGAGTAATCTGTTGTACTGGTCCAATGTAAGTGTATGGGAAAAAGTGCTTGAACTTGTGTAAATATCTGAAAAAGTGCTAAAGGTGGAAGTGTGAAAAGTAATAGCAATAATGAGACGGTGAAGCCGGTCGTAACAATGTATAATTTGTTGAATTTGGTGAAAGCGTTGAAGAGTTGAAAAGTGCCAAAATCTGGCGGAAGTGGAAGAAGAAGAAGAAGAAGAAGAATAAACAGTAGGAGAGCTAGAAATGGTACAATGGCTGAAGCCATTGTGAGTGGCTGCATAGATGTTGGAAGGGTTAGGGATGAAGAAGGAAGAGGAAGGGGAAGAAGAAGGAAGAAAGAAAAGAGAAGAAGAGGAAAGAAGAAGAAGGAAGAGGAGGAGGAAGAAGAAGAAGGGGAAGAAGAGGAAGAAGGGGAAGAAGAGGAAGAAGAGGAAGAAGGGGAAGAAGAGGAAGAAGAGGAAGAAGAGGAAGAAGGGGAAGAAGAGGAAGAAGGGAAAGAAGAGGAAGAAGGGGAAGAAGAGGAAGAAGAGGAAGAAGAGGAAGAAGGGGAAGAAGAGGAAGAAGTGAATAAGATGAAGTAAGAAGAATGTGTTGTAAGGGGCTGAAAGTGTTGTAAAGTGCTGAATGTGTTGTAAGGTGTTGTAAAGTGCTAAATGTGTTGTAAAGTGCTGAATGTGTTTTAAAGTGCTGAATGTGTTGTAAAGTGCTTAATATGTTGTAAAGTGCTAAATGTGTTGTAAAGTGTTGAATTTGTTGTAAGGTGTTGAATGTGTTGTAAAGTGCTAAATGTGTTGAATTTGTTGTAAAGTGCTAAATGTGTTGTAAGGTGTTGAATGTGTTGTAAAGTGCTAAATGTGTTGTAAAGTGTTGAATTTGTTGTAAAGTGCTAAATGTGTTGTAAGGTATTGAATGTTTGGTAAAGTGCTAAATGTGTTGTAAGGTGTTGAATGTGTTGTAAAGTGCTAAATGTGTTGTAAAGGGTTGAATTAGTTGTAAAGTGCTAAATGTGTTGTAAGGTATTGAATGTTTGGTAAAGTGCTAAATGTGTTGTAAGGTGTTGAATGTGTTGTAAAGTGCTAAATGTGTTGTAAGCTGTTGAATTTGTTGTAAAGTGCTAAATGTGTTGTAAGGTGTTGAATTTGTGTTAAAGTGCTAAATGTGTTGTAAGCTGTTGAATTTGTTGTAAAGTGCTAAATGTGTTGTAAGGTGTTGAATTTGTGTTAAAGTGTTAAATGTGTTGTAAGGTGTTGAATGTGTTGTAAAGTGCTAACTGTGTTGTAAGGTGTTGAATTTGTTGTAAGGTGCTAAATGTGTTGTAAGGTGTTGAATTTGTTGTAAAGTGCTAAATGTGTTGTAAGGTGTTGAATTTGTTGTAAGGTGCTAAATGTGTTGTAAGGTGTTGAATTTGTTGTAAGGTGCTAAATATGTTGTAAGGTGTTGAATTTGTTGTAAGGTGCTAAATGTGTTGTAAGGTGCTATAAGTGTTGTAAGGTGTAGAATTTGTTGTAAAGTGCTAAATGTGTTGTAAGGTGTTGAATGTGTTATAAAGTGCTAAATGTGTTGTAAGGTGTTGAATGTGTTGTAAAGTGCTAAATGTGTTGTAAGTTGTTGAATGTGTTGTAAAGTGCTAAATGTGTTGTAAGGTGTTGAATTTGTTGTAAGGTGCTAAATGTGTTGTAATGTGTTGAATTTGTTGTAAAGTGCTAAATGTGTTGTAAGGTGTTGAATTTGTTGTAAAGTGCTAAATGTGTTGTAAGGTGTTGAATTTGTTGTAAAGTGCTAAATGTGTTGTAAGGTGCTAAATGTGTTGTAAAGTGCTGAATGTGTTGTAAAGTGCTTAATGTGTTGTAAAGTGCTAAATGTGTTGTAAAGTGCTGAATGTGTTGTAAAGTGCTTAATGTGTTGTAAAGTGCTAAATGTGTTGTAAAATGCTGAATGTGTTGTAAAGTGCTAAATGTGTTGTAAAGTGCTAAATGTGTTGTACGGTGTTTAATTTGTGTTAAAGTGCTAAATGTGTTGTAAGGTGTTGAATTTGTGTTAAAGTGCTAAATGTGTTGTAAGGTGTTGAATGTGTGTTAAAGTGCTAAATGTGGTGTAAGGTGTTGAATGTGTTGTAAAGTGCTAAATGTGTTGTAAGGTGTTGAATTTGTTGTAAAGTGCTAAATGTGTTGTAAGGTGTTGAATTTGTGTTAAAGTGCTAAATGTGTTGTAAGGTGTTGAATTTGTGTTAAAGTGCTAAATGTGTTGTAAGGTGTTGAATGTGTTGTAAAGTGCTAAATGTGTTGTAAGGTGTTGAATTTTTTGTAAAGTGTTGAATTTGTTGTAAAGTGCTAAATGTGTTGTAAGGTGTTGAATGTGTTGTAAAGTGCTAAATGTGTTGTAAGATGTTGAATGTGTTGTAAGGTGCTAAATGTGTTGTAAGGTGTTGAATTTGTTGTAAGGTGTTGAATGTGTTGTAAAGTGCTAAATGTGCTGTAAGGTGTTGAATGTGTTGTAAAGTGCTAAATGTGTTGTAAGGTGTTGAATTTGTTGTAAGGTGCTGAATGTGTTGTAAGGTGTTGAATTTGTTGTAAAGTGCTAAATGTGTTGTAAGGTGTTGCATTTGTTGTAAAGTGCTAAATGTGTTGTAAGGTGTTGAATGTGTTGTAAAGTGCTAAATCTGTTGTAAGGTGTTGAATTTGTTGTAAGGTGCTGAATGTGTTGTAAGGTGTTGAATTTGTTGTAAGGTGCTAAATGTGTTGTAAGGTGTTGAATTTGTGTTAAAGTGCTAAATGTGTTGTAAGGTGTTGAATTTGTTGTAAGGTGCTGAATGTGTTGTAAGGTGTTGAATTTGTTGTAAATTGCTAAATGCGTTGTAAGGTGTTGAATTTGTTGTAAAGTGCTAAATGTGTTGTAAGGTGTTGAATTTGTTGTAAAGTGCTAAATGTGTTGTAAGGTGTTGAATGTGTTGTAAAGTGCTAAATGTGTTGTAAGGTGTTGAATTTGTTGTAAGGTGCTGAATGTGTTGTAAGGTGTTGAATTTGTTGTAAATTGCTAAATGCGTTGTAAGGTGTTGAATTTGTTGTAAAGTGCTAAATGTGTTGTAAGGTGTTGAATTTGTTGTAAGGTGCTAAATGTGTTGTAAGGTGTTGAATGTGTTGTAAAGTGTTAAATGTGTTGTAAGGTGTTGAATTTGTTGTAAGGTGCTAAATGTGTTGTAAGGTGTTGAATTTGTTGTAAAGTGCTAAATGTGTTGTAAGGTGTTGAAGAAGAAAGAAAAGGGAAGAAGAGGAAAGAAGAAGAAGGAAGAGGAAGGGGAAGAAGAAGAAGGGGAAGAAGGGGAAGAAGAGGAAGAAGGGGAAGAACAGGAAGAAGAGGAAGAAGGGGAAGAAGAGGAAGAAGGGGAAGAAGAGGAAAAAGGGAAAGAAGAGGAAGAAGGGGAAAAAGAGGAAGAAGGGGAAAAGGAAGAAGTGAAGAAGATGAAGTAAGAAGAATGTGTTTTAAGGGGCTGAAAGTGTTGTAAAGTGCTGAATAGGTCTTGAATTTGTTGTAAAGTGCTGTAAGTGTTGTAAGTGTTGTAAGATGTTGTAATGTATTGTATCTGTGGTGATGAATTGTTAGTGTGGTAATGTGTTGTATGGGGCGTAATCTGTTGTACTGGTCCAATGTAAGTCTATGGGAAAAAGTGCTTGAACTTTTGTTAATATCTGAAAAAGTGCTAAAGGTGTAAGTGTGAAAAGTAATAGCAATAATGAGACGGTGAAGCCGGTCGTAACGATGTATAATTTGTTGAATTTGGTGAAAGCGTTGAAGAGTTGAAAAGTGCCAAAATCTGGCGGAAGTGGAAGAAGAAGAAGAAGAAGAAGAATAAACAGTAGGAGAGCATATAGTGGCTGCATAGTCTATGCAGCCACTCAACTAGAAATGGTACAATGGCTGAAGCCATTGTGAGTGGCTGCATAGATGTTGGAAGGGTTAGGGATGAAGAAGGAAGAGGAAGGGGAAGAAGAAGGAAGAAGAAAGAAAAGGGAAGAAGAGGAAAGAAGAAGAAGGAAGAGAAGGAGGAAGAAGAAGAAGGGGAAGAAGGGGAAGAAGAAGGGGAAGAAGAGGAAGAAGGGGAAGAAGAGGAAGAACAGGAAGAAGAGGAAGAAGAGGAAGAAGAGGAAGAAGGGGAAGAAGAGGAAGAAGAGGAAGAAGAGGAAAAAGGGGAAGAAGAGGAAGAATAGAAAGAAGAGAAAGAAGGGGAAGAAGAGGAAGAAGTGAAGAAGATGAAAGAAGAAGAATGTGTTGTAAGGGGCTGAAAGTGTTGTAAAGTGCTGAAAGTGTTGTAAAGTGCTAAATGTGTTGTAAAGTGCTGAATGTGTTGTAAAGTGCTGAATGTGTTGTAAGGTGTTGAATTTGTTGTAAAGTGCTAAATGTGTTGTACGGTGTTGAATTTGTGTTAAAGTGCTAAATGTGTTGTAAGGTGTTGAATTTGTGTTAAAGTGCTGAATGTGTTGTAAAGTGTTGAATTTGTTGTAAAGTGCTAAGTGTGTAATTTGTGTTTAAGTGCTAAATGTGTTGTAAGGTGTTGAATTTGTGTTAAAGTGCTGAATGTGTTGTAAAGTGTTGAATTTGTTGTAAAGTGCTAAATGTGTTAGAATTTGTTGTAAAGTGCTAAATGTGTTGTGAGGTGTTGAATTTGTTGTAAGGTGCTGAATGTGTTGTAAGGTGTTGAATTTGTTGTAAAGTGTTAAATGTGTTGTAAGGTGTTGAATGTGTTGTAAAGTGCTAAATGTGTTAGAATTTGTTGTAAAGTGCTAAATGTGTTGTAAGGTGTTGAATGTGTTGTAAGGTGCTAAATGTGTTGTAAGGTGTTGAATTTGTTGTAAAGTGCTAAATGTGTTGAATTTGTTGTAAAGTGCTAAATGTGTTGTAAGGTGCTGTAAGTGTTGTAAGATGTTGTAATGTATTGTATCTGTGGTAATTAATTGTTAGTGTGGTAATGTGTTGTATGGGGAGTAATCTGTTGTACTGGTCCAATGTAAGTCTATGGGAAAAAGTGCTTGAACTTTTGTTAATATCTGAAAAAGTGCTAAAGGTGGAAGTGTGAAAAGTAATAGCAATAATGAGACGGTGAAGCCGGTCGTAACGATGTATAATTTGTTGAATTTGGTGAAAGCGTTGAAGAGTTGAAAAGTGCCAAAATCTGGCGGAAGTGGAAGAAGAAGAAGAAGAAGAAGAACTAGAAATGGTACAATGGCTGAAGCCATTGTGAGTGGCTGCATAGATGTTGGAAGGGTTAGGGATGAAGAAGGAAGAGGAAGGGGAAGAAGAAGGAAGAAGAAAGAAGAGGAAAGAAGAAGAAGGAAGAGGAGGAGAAAGAAGAAGGGGAAGAAGGGGAAGAAGAGGAAGAAGAGGACGAAGGGGAAGAAGGGGAAGAAGACGAAGAAGAGGAAGAAGAGGAAGAAGGGGAAGAAGAGGAAGAAGGGGAAGAAGAGGAAGAAGGGGAAGAAGAGGAAGAAGAGGAAGAAGGGGAAGAAGAGGAAGAAGAGGAAGAAGAGGAAGAAGGGGAAGAAGGGGAAGAAGAGGAAGAAGTGAAGAAGATGAAGTAAGAAGAATGTGTTGTAAGGGGCTGAAAGTGTTTTAAAGTGCTAAATGTGTTGTAAGTATTGAATTTGTTGTAAGGTATAGAATGTGTTGTAAAGTGCTAAATGTGTTGTAAGGCGTTGAATTTGTTGTAAAGTGCTAAATGTGTTGTAAGTATTGAATTTGTTGTAAGGTATAGAATGTTTTGTAAAGTGCTAAATGTGTTGTAAGGTGTTGAATTTGTTGTAAAGTGCTAAATGTGTTGTAAGGTGTTGAATTTTTGTTAAAGTGCTAAAGGTGTTGTAAGGTGTTGAATTTGTGTTAAAGTGCTAAATGTGTTGTAAGGTGTTGAATGTGTTGTAAAGTGCTAAATGTGTTGTAAGGTGTTGAATTTTTTGTAAAGTGTTGAATTTGTTGTAAAGTGCTAAATGTGTTGTAAGGTGTTGAATGTGTTGTAAAGTGCTAAATGTGTTGTAAGATGTTGAATGTGTTGTAAGGTGCTAAATGTGTTGTAAGGTGTTGAATTTGTTGTAAGGTGTTGAATGTGTTGTAAAGTGCTAAATGTGTTGTAAGGTGTTGAATGTGTTGTAAAGTGCTAAATGTGTTGTAAGGTGTTGAATTTGTTGTAAGGTGCTGAATGTGTTGTAAGGTGTTGAATTTGTTGTAAAGTGCTAAATGTGTTGTAAGGTGTTGAATTTGTTGTAAAGTGCTAAATGTGTTGTAAGGTGTTGAATGTGTTGTAAAGTGCTAAATGTGTTGTAAGGTGTTGAATTTGTTGTAAGGTGCTGAATGTGTTGTAAGGTGTTGAATTTGTTGTAAGGTGCTAAATGTGTTGTAAGGTGTTGAATTTGTGTTAAAGTGCTAAATGTGTTGTAAGGTGTTGAATTTGTTGTAAGGTGCTAAATGTGTTGTAAGGTGTTGAATTTGTTGTAAAGTGCTAAATGTGTTGTAAGGTGTTGAATGTGTTGTAAAGTGCTAAATGTGTTGTAAGGTGTTGAATTTGTTGTAAGGTGCTGAATGTGTTGTAAGGTGTTGAATTTGTTGTAAATTGCTAAATGCGTTGTAAGGTGTTGAATTTGTTGTAAAGTGCTAAATGTGTTGTAAGGTGTTGAATTTGTTGTAAAGTGCTAAATGTGTTGTAAGGTGTTGAATGTGTTGTAAAGTGCTAAATGTGTTGTAAGGTGTTGAATTTGTTGTAAGGTGCTGAATGTGTTGTAAGGTGTTGAATTTGTTGTAAATTGCTAAATGCGTTGTAAGGTGTTGAATTTGTTGTAAAGTGCTAAATGTGTTGTAAGGTGTTGAATTTGTTGTAAGGTGCTAAATGTGTTGTAAGGTGTTGAATTTGTTGTAAAGTGCTAAATGTGTTGTAAGGTGTTGAATTTGTTGTAAAGTGCTAAATGTGTTGTAAGGTGTTGAATGTGTTGTAAAGTGCTAAATCTGTTGTAAGGTGTTGAATTTGTTGTAAGGTGCTGAATGTGTTGTAAGGTGTTGAATTTGTTGTAAGGTGCTAAATGTGTTGTAAGGTGTTGAATTTGTGTTAAAGTGCTAAATGTGTTGTAAGGTGTTGAATTTGTTGTAAGGTGCTGAATGTGTTGTAAGGTGTTGAATTTGTTGTAAAGTGCTAAATGTGTTGTAAGGTGTTGAATTTGTTGTAAAGTGCTAAATGTGTTGTAAGGTGTTGAATGTGTTGTAAAGTGCTAAATGTGTTGTAAGGTGTTGAATGTGTTGTAAAGTGCTAAATGTGTTGTAAGGTGTTGAATTTGTTGTAAGGTGCTGAATGTGTTGTAAGGTGTTGAATTTGTTGTAAAGTGCTAAATGCGTTGTAAGGTGTTGAATTTGTTGTAAAGTGCTAAATGTGTTGTAAGGTGTTGAATTTGTTGTAAGGTGCTAAATGTGTTGTAAGGTGTTGAATGTGTTGTAAAGTGTTAAATGTGTTGTAAGGTGTTGAATTTGTTGTAAGGTGCTAAATGTGTTGTAAGGTGTTGAATTTGTTGTAAAGTGCTAAATGTGTTGTAAGGTGTTGAAGAAGAAAGAAAAGGGAAGAATAGGAAAGAAGAAGAAGGAAGAGGAAGGGGAAGAAGAAGAAGGGGAAGAAGGGGAAGAAGAGGAAGAAGGGGAAGAACAGGAAGAAGAGGAAGAAGGGGAAGAAGAGGAAGAAGGGGAAGAAGAGGAAAAAGGGAAAGAAGAGGAAGAAGGGGAAAAAGAGGAAGAAGGGGAAAAGGAAGAAGTGAAGAAGATGAAGTAAGAAGAATGTGTTTTAAGGGGCTGAAAGTGTTGTAAAGTGCTGAATAGGTCTTGAATTTGTTGTAAAGTGCTGTAAGTGTTGTAAGTGTTGTAAGATGTTGTAATGTATTGTATCTGTGGTGATGAATTGTTAGTGTGGTAATGTGTTGTATGGGGCGTAATCTGTTGTACTGGTCCAATGTAAGTCTATGGGAAAAAGTGCTTGAACTTTTGTTAATATCTGAAAAAGTGCTAAAGGTGGAAGTGTGAAAAGTAATAGCAATAATGAGACGGTGAAGCCGGTCGTAACGATGTATAATTTGTTGAATTTGGTGAAAGCGTTGAAGAGTTGAAAAGTGCCAAAATCTGGCGGAAGTGGAAGAAGAAGAAGAAGAAGAATAAACAGTAGGAGAGCATATAGTGGCTGCATAGTCTATGCAGCCACTCAACTAGAAATGGTACAATGGCTGAAGCCATTGTGAGTGGCTGCATAGATGTTGGAAGGGTTAGGGATGAAGAAGGAAGAGGAAGGGGAAGAAGAAGGAAGAAGAAAGAAAAGGGAAGAAGAGGAAAGAAGAAGAAGGAAGAGAAGGAGGAAGAAGAAGAAGGGGAAGAAGGGGAAGAAGAAGGGGAAGAAGAGGAAGAAGGGGAAGAAGAGGAAGAACGGGAAGAAGAGGAAGAAGAGGAAGAAGAGGAAGAAGGGGAAGAAGAGGAAGAAGGGGAAGAAGAGGAAGGAAGAAGAGGAAGAATAGAAAGAAGAGAAAGAAGGGGAAGAAGAGGAAGAAGTGAAGAAGATGAAAGAAGAAGAATGTGTTGTAAGGGGCTGAAAGTGTTGTAAAGTGCTGAAAGTGTTGTAAAGTGCTAAATGTGTTGTAAAGTGCTGAATGTGTTGTAAAGTGCTGAATGTGTTGTAAGGTGTTGAATTTGTTGTAAAGTGCTAAATGTGTTGTACGGTGTTGAATTTGTGTTAAAGTGCTAAATGTGTTGTAAGGTGTTGAATTTGTGTTAAAGTGCTGAATGTGTTGTAAAGTGTTGAATTTGTTGTAAAGTGCTAAGTGTGTAATTTGTGTTTAAGTGCTAAATGTGTTGTAAGGTGTGAATTTGTGTTAAGTGCTAATTTGTGTGTAAAGTGCTGCTAAATGTGTTGTAAAGTGCTAAATGTGTTGTAAGGTGTTGAATTTGTTGTAAGGTGCTGAATGTGTTGTAAGGTGTTGAATTTGTTGTAAAGTGCTAAATGTGTTGTAAGGTGTTGAATGTTGTTGTAAAGTGCTAAATGTGTTAGAATTTGTTGTAAAGTGCTAAATGTGTTGTAAGGTGTTGAATGTGTTGTAAGGTGCTAAATGTGTTGTAAGGTGTTGAATTTGTTGTAAAGTGCTAAATGTGTTGAATTTGTTGTTTTAAAGTGCTAAATGTGTTGTAAGGTGCTGTAAGTGTTGTAAGATGTTGTAATGTATTGTATCTGTGGTAATTAATTGTTAGTGTGGTAATGTGTTGTATGGGGAGTAATCTGTTGTACTGGTCCAATGTAAGTCTATGGGAAAAAGTGCTTGAACTTTTGTTAATATCTGAAAAAGTGCTAAAGGTGGAAGTGTGAAAAGTAATAGCAATAATGAGACGGTGAAGCCGGTCGTAACGATGTATAATTTGTTGAATTTGGTGAAAGCGTTGAAGAGTTGAAAAGTGCCAAAATCTGGCGGAAGTGGAAGAAGAAGAAGAAGAAGAAGAACTAGAAATGGTACAATGGCTGAAGCCATTGTGAGTGGCTGCATAGATGTTGGAAGGGTTAGGGATGAAGAAGGAAGAGGAAGGGGAAGAAGAAGGAAGAAGAAAGAAGAGGGAAAGAAGAAGAAGGAAGAGGAGGAGAAAGAAGAAGGGGAAGAAGGGAGAGAAGAGGGAAGAAGAGGACGAAGGGGAAGAAGGGGAAGACGACGAAGAAGAGGAAGAAGAGGAAGAAGGGGAGAAGAGGAAGAAGGGGAAGAAGAGGAAGAAGGGGAAGAAGAGGAAGAAGAGGAAGAAGGGGAAGAAGAGGAAGAAGAGGAAGAAGAGGAAGAAGGGGAAGAAGGGAAGAAGAGGAAGAAGGTGAAGAAGATGAAGTAAGAAGAATGTGTTGTAAGGGGCTGAAAGTGTTTAAAGTGCTAAATGTGTTGTAAGTATTGAATTTGTTGTAAGGTATAGAATGTGTTGTAAAGTGCTAAATGTGTTGTAAGGCGTTGAATTTGTTGTAAAGTGCTAAATGTGTTGTAAGTATTGAATTTGTTGTAAGGTATAGAATGTTTTGTAAAGTGCTAACTGTGTTGTAAGGTGTTGAATTTGTTGTAAAGTGCTAAATGTGTTGTAAGGTGTTGAATTTTTGTTAAAGTGCTAAATGTGTTGTAAGGTGTTGAATTTGTGTTAAAGTGCTAAATGTGTTGTAAGGTGTTGAATGTGTTGTAAAGTGCTAAATGTGTTGTAAGGTGTTGAAGTTTTTTGTAAAAGTGTTGAATTTGTTGTAAAGTGCTAAATGTGTTGTAAGGTGTTTGAATGTGTTGTAAAGTGCTAAATGTGTTGTAAGATGTTGAATGTGTTGTAAGGTGCTAAATGTGTTTGTAAGGTGTTGAATTTGTTTGTAAGGTGTTGAATGTGTTGTAAAAGTGCTAAATGTGCTGTAAGGTGTTGAATGTGTTGTAAAGTGCTAAATGTGTTGTAAGGTGTTGAATTTGTTGTAAGGTGCTGAATGTGTTGTAAGGTGTTGAATTTGTTGTAAAGTGCTAAATGTGTTGTAAGGTGTTGAATTTGTTGTAAAGTGCTAAATGTGTTGTAAGGTGTTGAATGTGTTGTAAAGTGCTAAATCTGTTGTAAGGTGTTGAATTTGTTGTAAGGTGCTGAATGTGTTGTAAGGTGTTGAATTTGTTGTAAAGGTGCTAAATGTGTTGTAAGGTGTTGAATTTGTGTTAAAGTGCTAAATGTGTTGTAAGGTGTTGAATTTGTTGTAAGGTGCTGAATGTGTTGTAAGGTGTTGAATTTGTTGTAAAGTGCTAAATGTGTTGTAAGGTGTTGAATGTGTTGTAAAGTGCTAAATGTGTTGTAAGGTGTTGAATTTGTTGTAAGGTGCTGAATGTGTTGTAAGGTGTTGAATTTGTTGTAAAGTGCTAAATGTGTTGTAAGGTGTTGAATTTGTTGTAAAGTGCTAAATGTGTTGTAAGGTGTTGAATTTGTTGTAAAGTGCTAAATGTGTTGTAAGGTGTTGAATGTGTTGTAAAGTGCTAAATGTGTTGTAAGGTGTTGAATTTGTTGTAAGGTGCTGAATGTGTTGTAAGGTGTTGAATTTGTTGTAAAGTGCTAAATGTGTTGTAAGGTGTTGAATTTGTTGTAAAGTGCTAAATGTGTTGTAAGGTGTTGAATTTGTTGTAAGGTGCTAAATGTGTTGTAAGGGTGTTGAATGTGTTGTAAGGTGTTGAATTTGTTGTAAGGTGCTAAATGTGTTGTAAGGTGTTGAATTTGTTGTAAAGTGCTAAATGTGTTGTAAGGTGTTGAATGTGTTGTAAAGTGCTAAATGTGTTGTAAGGTGTTGAATGTGTTGTAAAGTGCTAAATGTGTTGTAAGGTGCTGTAAGTGTGTTGTAAGATGTTGTAATGTATTGTATCTGTGGTGATGAATTGTTAGTGTGGTAATGTGTTGTATGGGGCGTAATCTGTTGTACTGGTCCAATGTAAGTCTATGGGAAAAAGTGCTTGAACTTTTGTTAATATCTGAAAAAGTGCTAAAGTGTAAGTGTGAAAAGTAATAGCAATAATGAGACGGTGAAGCCGGTCGTAACGATGTATAATTTGTTGAATTTGGTGAAAGCGTTGAAGAGTTGAAAAGTGCCAAAATCTGGCGGAAGTGGAAGAAGAAGAATAAACAGTAGGAGAGCAATATAGTGGCTGCATAGTCTATGCACCACTCAATAACAGTAGGAGAGCATATAGTGGCTGCATAGTCTATGCAGCCACTCAACTAGAAATGGTACAATGGCTGAAGCCATTGTGAGTGGCTGCATAGATGTTGGAAGGGTTAGGGATGAAGAAGGAAGAGGAAGGGGAAGAAGAAGGAAGAAGAAAGAAGAGGAAAGAAAGAAGAAGGAAGAGGAGAAAAAGAAGAAGGGAAGAAGGGGAAGAAGAGGAAGAAGAGGACGAAGGGGAAGAAGGGGAAGAAGAAGAAGAAGAAGAAGAAGAGGAAGAAGGGGAAGAAGAGGAAGAAGGGGAAGAAGAGGAAGAAGGGGAAGAAGAGGAAGAAGAGGGAAGAAGAAGGGAAGAAGAGGAAGAAGAGGAAGAAGTGAAGAAGATGAAGTAAGAAGAATGTGTTGTAAGGGGCTGAAAGTGTTGTAAAGTGCTAAATGTGTTGTAAGGTGTTGAATGTGTTGTAAAGTGCTAAATGTGTTGTAAGGTGTTGAATTTGTTGTAAAGTGCTAAGTGCTAAATGTGTTGTAAAGTGCTAAATGTGTTGTAAGGTGTTGAATTTGTTGTAAAGTGCTAAATGTGTTGTAAGGTGTTGAATTTGTTGTAAAGTGCTAAATGTGTTGTAAGGTGTTGAATTTGTTGTAAGGTGCTGAATGTGTTGTAAGGTGTTGAATTTGTTGTAAAGTGCTAAATGTGTTGTTAAAGTTCAATGTGTTGTAAGGTGTGTTGTAAGGTGTTGAATGTGTTGTAAAGTGCTAAATGTGTTGTAAGGTGTTGAATTTGTTGTAAGGTGCTAAATGTGTTGTAAGGTGTTGAATTTGTTGTAAAGTGCTAAATGTGTTGTAAGGTGCTGTAAGTGTTGTAAGATGTTGTAATGTATTGTATCTGTGGTGATGAATTGTTAGTGTGGTAATGTGTTGTATGGGGAGTAATCTGTTGTACTGGTCCAATGTAAGTCTATGGGAAAAAGTGCTTGAACTTTTGTTAATATCTGAAAAAGTGCTAAAGGTGGAAGTGTAAAAAGTAATAGCAATAATGAGACGGAGAAGCCGGTCGTAACGATGTATAATTTGTTGAATTTGGTGAAAGCGTTGAAGAGTTGAAAAGTGCCAAATCTGGCGGAAGTGGAAGAAAGAGAAGAAGAAGAAGAAGAAGAAGAAGAAGAAGAAGAATAAACAGTAGTGAGGAGCATATAGTGGCTGCATAGTCTATGCAGCCACTCCATAAACAGTAGGGGAGAGCATAATAGTGGCTGCATAGTCTATGCAGCCACTCAACTAGAAAATGGCTACAATGGCTGAAGCCATTGTGAGTGGCTGCATAGATGTTGGAAGGGTTAGGGATGAAGAAGGAAGAGGAAGGGGAAGAAGGAGGAAGAAGGAAGAAGTTGAAAGAAATGAAAGAAGAAAGAAGAAGAAGAAAGAAAAGGAAAAGAGGAAAGAAGAAGAAGAAGAAGGAAGAGGGATGAAGAAGGAGGAGGAGGAAGAGAAGCGAAGAAAAGGAGGAAGAAGGGAAGAAGGGGAGAAGGGGAAGAAGAGGAAGAAGAGGTAGAAGGGGAAGAAGAGGAAGAAGGGGAATACAGGGAAGAGGAAGAAGGGGAAGAAGAGGAAAGAAGAAATAAGACAAAGGAAGAGGGGGTGGAGGGGGGGGGGGAGGAGGAAGGTGAAGAAGATGAGGTGAGGAAGATGAAGAAGAAGATGAAGTAAGAAGAATGTGTTGTAAAGTGCTGACTGTGTTGTAAGGTGCTAAATGTGTTGTAAGGTGTTGAATGTGTTGTAAGGTGTTGAATTTGTTGTAAAGTGCTAAATGTGTTTGTAAGGTGTTGAATGTGTTGT